GGAAGAGTAGACTGAAAACTGTTGGCGGTGGCGACCATGACACTTTTTCAACAGAAAGAAATTGCTCCTGGTATCTGACTCTATGTCAGCCCATAAGTGTGACTCTATCAAGAAGATATTTAAAACAAATGCACTGAAATAGCCGTGATCCCTGGAGGGCTCATTAAGAAACTGCAACCACTTGACCTCACCATAAACAGAATGTTTAAACTGATGATCCGCAAATGTTGGAAAAATGGATGACAGAGAGCCTGCACGAGCATACAGCCTCCCGAAAAATGAAGAAGGCCAGCTGTGCCGAAGTTTGCCATTGGGTTGTAGAAGCATGGAATGCTGTTAAATAGTCAACCATTTTGAAAATTGTTAAATAGTCAACCATTTCGTATGGTTTTTAAAAAGTGGGATGACTTCTGGAGAATAAGAAGAGGACGAGAGTGACGAAGATGTGGATTACAACACATCTACACTTGACGACTCAAAGTTGCTTCAGCTGTTTCACAGTGACACAGAAGATGAGGACTTTGACGGAAGACAATTTACCTTTAACTTTGATTTAGATAAAACATTGCCAGGCTGTGGACATACATTCATATATTTTCATTTCAAAGACGTAATTTAATTTCCTTCCGTTGCTATACGTTGTACGGGAAAAACTGTATTAGTTATTATAGTCATTTAATTATTTCATATCAAGTTAGATATATGCATGTAACATCTGAAAAGGAACTGTTATTAAACATATTGCAATTAAACTTACGAAAAAAGCACGTATATCGTTGATAACTTAACTCAATCCCCTGTGGTTATGTCACGAGGTGAAGCCAGTCACAGGTTAAAGATTATGGCGATGCTATAGGACACAGTGAAACCTACTCTTTTTGAAATAGGTGAGCAATTAATTAAGTTGCAATTGTACTCTATTTAAATACCGATAAATACAGTCAAAAATTAAGTTGCAATTGTAATCTATTTAAATACCAATAAATACAGTCAAAAGTATTCGTATTTATACTTTGTCTATTGACCAGGGAATAACTGAGATTGCTAACAGACGTATTTATTGGCCGATTGGTGAATCGCTCAATGTATTCAACAACAACAACAACATAAACGAATATTTCAAATAGAAAATTGGTTATTTCAGTCAAACAAACAAAAAATACTGTATAACCCGCACACGAGTATACATCGCAGCTGGCATATAGTCCGTGGGTTATTTCCGTGAAAATACGGTAGGTGGCCTGATGTTTAGTGATATAAGTATTTCAGACCTTAGTTAACGACAAACCGCATTTCCAAAGCTAACAGTTATTTCAGTGAAGAATTAATGGCACATTTCACCTGTATGATTTTCAGTGGCTGATGTTGAATTAACAAGATACGGAAAAAGAGAAAGAACAGAATTTGAAAAATTAGAATTATTGACTGCAAAATGTTAATAATGATATAATATAAGATTATACAATAATGATATAATATTGTGTAATAATAATGATATAATATATAGATTATATAATAATGATATAATATAATATTATATAATAATGATATAATATAATATTATATAATAATGATATAATATAATATTATATAATAATGATATAATATAATATTATATAATAATGATATATATAATATTGTATAATAATGATATAATATAATATTGTATAATAATGATATAATATAATATAATAATGATATAATAAAATATAGTGTAATAATGATATAACATAATATTATATAATAATGAAATAATATAATATTATATAATAATGATATAACATAATATTATATGATAATGATATAATATAATATTGTATAATAATGATATAATATAATATTATATAATAATGATATAATATAATATTATATAATAATGATATAACATAATATTATATGATAATGATATGATATAATATTATACAATAATGATATAATATAATATTATATAATAAGGATATAATATAATATTGTGTAATAATGATATAATATAAGATTATACAATAATGATATAACATAATATTATATGATAATGATATAACATAATATTATATGATAATGATATAATATAATATTGTATAATAATGATATACTATAATATTATATAATGATTATATAATATTATATAATAATGATATAACATAATATTATATAATAATGATATAACATAATATTATATGATAATGATATAACATAATATTATATGATAATGATATAATATAATATTGTGAAGTTTTGGAGGAAAGTTACATGTAACATACATTACTTAATCTTTCATTTAAATTATTGTTTTCTTTTCATGATACAAGAAATTCGAAAATAACGTGGCGTATTACAATCTTAAACTGAAAACAGTAGCAATTACGAACGCATGGTATATGTAGATGAAGGGCACATCCAAGTGTTGGTCAGCATATCATGCGTCACAATAGTTATTACATTGGTGATCCGCTCACGTAGTGCCCTATAAACGATGTCTTTCTCATACCTCCAAAAAATGATACCCATCGGCCTATCGCGGCTTCTTTCGCTACCAGTCACTTGATATTGTAGGTAACACTTAGAATTCTTAACTGGTTGATCTTTTCAATACACTTTACGATATTGTCTATGTATAATAATAACAGGTGATTTCATCTCTGCTATCCACAGTATGTACATAGGTTTCTCTGTTGTCATGTTTATTAATGACGTATTTGGTGACCGCGCATGTATATTTAAGTTTGTAATACGTCACATATCTGTGGGACACCCTCTATTATAACCTTATTGTATCACGACCAAACGTACTCGTCCCCAATGACGGGAAAATTTAAATTATTTCGTGGACTTTAAAAAGATTAATTGTGTTGCACTCTTGGTTTCATTCAGAGCTAAAGCTCTGAGTTATTTATACCACCCACCATGAAGGGTAATTGTTGAACATTTCAGTCATGCTTAAGAGCCGCTCAACAATAACATACAGTAAATCTACATTTTAATTCTTCAGGTTACGTCACAGTTTGAAATGTGAATGATAGTGTGATTAATTCCTAACAATTTAGTTTTGAATATCCTGCTTGCGAAATAAAATTTGGCATCAACATTATTCATGCCTGTTCTCCCCTCGTTTGAAAACTGAATGTTGAGATTTGCCTGCGTGCTCAGCTTTTCAAACGGGAGACAGACGAACGCTCGGACAGACACCACGGTTAGTAACATATACAAGATCGTTTATGATAGAAGTTGCATAAGATAGCTCAAAAATTGCAGTATACTAATCCATTCACATAACTCACAACAAAGTAACGCCATCTACTGAGGTAGATATTAAGAAAATAGATTTAAATAATTATTTAAATGATAGATTCGTGGTACACGGAATTTTATATTAATATATTTGACATGTTGTTCAGCAAGGTCAACTGAAACGTAATATCACAAGAATATAGTTAAAAGTTTAATATTCTACACTAGTTATGTTGCATTGACCATATTATCTATACTGAAGAGCTTAAAGTCGGTGTTTAATATTCTACACTAGTTATGTTGCATTGACCATATTATCTATACT